CAGAACTTCAATGTCAGCTGATACGACTATTACGTAAAGTAGACCAACTTTTATCATACTTTGAGTGGTGAGCCATTAGATACTGGTACAATAGCATCTACACGCATATATCTTGGAAAAAAATATTACAAACAGATTAAATTAAAAAATGCAGGGAAATCATCATTGAAAAAAAACCACAAAACTATGTGACATTTTTCTACCATCGCTTCACCCATAGTCTAATGGTCGGCACTTATAATGACGTTAAAAGTGTTACTATGAAGTGTAGTTTACGGGAATCTTTATAAATAAGTATTTTTATAATGTCAAATCTGTAAGGAGGTTGTTGGGTTCTTTACAATACTAACATTTAGTATGCGTATTTTTTTGTAATTTCATAGTTATGCTAATTTGGTTTATTTCAATATTCAACGGCAAATAAATTGTTTCATTTAGTACCTATAGTTACGTTGCTACCCAACCGTTATGTGCGCATTTTAGGCAAAGTGTGAAATAATGGTGCATCGTTTAGTGTTTTTAATTAAAAGTGTTAAGACTTTACTGCAAAGTGCACTTTACTGATTGCGTGATATTAAATTATTTTGCGTATGCCATTTCGAACAGGCGAATGGAGCTTACAATTGAGGCTTTAACGTGTATTTAAGTTTTAGCTTAATTTGCTTTAATTTGATTTGGGTGTTCAATTTTTGGATACTAAGTATTGAAGTTACAAATAGGTGATTTCGTTTATTAAAAGAGCGCCACCACATGGTCACTGACAAATACTGATTGCGGGAGCCACTTTTAACAACTACCATATTGGGTAATATCAATTTGTATGGGTATGTAACAATTACAAGTTAAAGTGTAGATTATCCTCAAAAACAACACGGGCATGTTTATAAAAAATAAATATGACCGACGTAATTATATTTTTCAAATTTTTCCCTAATTTTAGCATTTTACAACTTCATATCTTTACAAATAAAATGCAAAAAGGTAAAAGAGGAATATTATTAATGACTATAGCAAAATCATTTTTGTCAGTAAATTTTTAACCACATTTGAGACATGTGAAAGGCGTTGTTTACAAAGCTGATGCTTCCTCTAATTCCATTATCACCCGTTTCGACTAACTTTGTAAATAAAGAGTGTACGAGCCGACCAGACTCTTCCAAATAAACATTCTTTCTCAGGGTTCGTACCACAGTTTATTCCTCCAGTTATGTTGGACCATTTTATATGACGCATGACAATTTCGTTCATAATTTGCTTCATTTAACGAAACTGTGTATACTAGTGCTACCTAATTTTAGACACATAACGTATATAATTTCTAAACTTGTGTTTATGATATTTCACATGTAAATTTTGTAGTAATAATAATTTATATTATGCCGTAATTTTGCGGTAATTTACGGGCTATTTTTATTCTACTATATTAGGAAATGCAAATTACAAATATGGAATTATTACGCGCGTAAGCGTCCTCTAATATTAAAAAAAAACACGCCCGCCACCAGGGTTTGGCCGGACTCCACACTAAGAAGTTCGCTGATTCTATTCTAAACTGTTTGGATTTCGGCATTCTCATGAGGAATCATCTGGAGGAAAAGATGTATAATAATAAGGTTATTACGAAGATACTGCTAAGTACGCACTCGGAGAGTACGCCGTCACTGCTGGGCGTCGGTTGTATTACGTTTTTCTTTGAAATGTTCCTGCATCTGCCGTCATTTGGCGAGTTCCAAACACTTGTCTAGGACGATCGGTTATTTTAGCCCTAATGTAACAAAGCTAAATTCGTTATCATCTCTAGTACATAGACTGAAACGCGATTTGTTTGTCGTGAAAATTGTTTGAAGTATTGTTGGATCTCTCAACGTGACTTATATCCAATGCGTAGACGTAGTTTGCGTCATTTGTTATAAAAACAGATTCCGAACCACGAAATTCTCGATCGCAGAACTCGTGTTAACTAGTTTTTCTGGTTCATATTATGGATTTGTAATATTGGTGTGATTTTAAGTCAATATTAGCGGAGCGAATCGCCAAAAAGTCAAAGAAACTACTGAAACGTTTTTGGCGATCCGCTCCGACAGGATTGCTCTTAAAATCGCTTTTGTGTATTCCATAATTGTTGGCATGTTCGTAGCTTATGCCATTGTCGACCCAATCCTAGCTTGTTTACACAATTTAACCACATGCACCCGGATTGGCTAAGAATACGAGGTAGTCAAAAATAGACTAATCAGGTCCATTGTGTCATGGGGGACGGCAGACTGACTTTCAAATTTGAGTGACGCATCGGTGGTTCGTAGACAAAGCAGTTACATATACATTCTCAGCTTTTGGAAAGGAAAACTGTTTTGTACTGGTAATAATTGTATAACAATCGTACTGCAAGTCGACAAAACTAAACTAAACGAAACTCCGATTGTAATGAGTTATAGAGCAAAAACGACGAACTGTAATTCACGACAGTGTTGTCGGCAACCTTGACTTACTTGCTTCCAAGCGGATTCAGTCAGGAAATAGTAGGCCTTTTTTTACTTAAATTACGATTTTTAATTGATATTCAACAACAAACGTTTCATCGACAAAAAAAGCGTAGCTTTACCGAGTACTCGCATCTCATTATGTAGTTCTGCTCTGATTACATTTTCGCTTGGTTCAGGTGCCGTGGCTTACTAGAAAGTTGCGAGAAAGGGGGCGTAGACACGACAGTGTTCAAGATTAACGGTCACATATCACGTTTTGTACATAAACAAATGTTTGTTGTGATATGGTATAACACTCGAAACTAAGCTTGTCAAGCAAATAAACTTAAATTGATAACGGGATTACACTGTTTATTCAGGGCGGCCACACGTTGTTTTTTTTCAAATTATCGATTTTTTCATAACTTTATCGGCCACGTACCAAACGGGTTGTTTTGATTTTTATTCATCAAACATCAACACATCAAAAAATAACTGAATACGATGCGCTGAACAGAAAATATCCTCTCAACTGTGCTACTTTTAGTTTTTGAGTCTTTTCAGCCATTTGAAACGTAACGTGTCCGATTTCTTTGATTTTTGCAGAGATGAAACTCAAGATCAACTAAAAACAAAATGTAATTTTTTTTCAAGTATCAGTAATATTTCATTACTAATTGACCTGTGAAAACAGAGCACTCTAATTTATTACATAATTCTTCTCCACCACTTTGTAAAAGAACCAAACAATTCAGAAACTCTTTTACATTATTGTTGAGAACATTGCAGTCTTCCTTTTCTCATAAAAATATGTGTTGGCTAACTGTTTTCTAGTAGCAGTACAAATAGCAGAACAATCGATTTTGTTTATTTTGGGTAGAGTGTTGCAAGGGCCACAATAATCATTATTATTATTTCTATCAAGCTTTTGCTGTTTTGCCCAACGAAAGTCAGTAACTACATCCTTAACAAGTTTTAATATATTATATCCTTGTAGTTTTATTTAATTAAATTATATATTAAGTCATTTTAACCTTTGCAATATATCTGTCGTGCTTTATTTTTTGTACTCATAATATTTACAGACTAGCTGTATGTAAACCACACTATTATAAGCTTAGTGCGCCATTTTAAACAATTGTTACAGATCCACCCATTTCCAATATCACCAATTTCAGGTTATTTATACATTTGTAATATGTTTGTCGTATATTATTAATCAGTAATATTATTCGTAAATCAATTGCAATTCAGCTTTATT